CCCCCCGCCTTCCCGCCCACAGCGCCTTCCCGCCAAAGCGGGCGGCGGTTGGGCGGTCGTCGCGCGGCCGGGCTCTCCTCAGTGAGCGGCTGTTGCGTCGCAGAGATTTACCACAGTCGGGCGGCCCCAAAACTGACGGGGAACCGGCTCCCCTCATACCACCTCCCACCCTCGGACAAGAAGATCCAAGAGTCAACCCCAGCTTCTGGCTCAACCAGGCTTTTATTGCTGTGCTTCAAACTTAACAGTTCTGAGCATACCGATACAAAAAAAAACACGATCGTTTCAGAAACCAAAGCATTGCGATCCTCTCCGAAACAGCAGCAGCCTCTTCGTTCCCACTGAACAGCACAGTCCTACCTCACACGAAGGGAAGCGCGAGCTGGAGCTCCTTGCTCTCAAGCTGGCATCCGGCGCCCGAGTTTAATATACAACTCAAAAGACCTTAGTGAACATCACAACCGGAGTCCGTGTTAACACCGATGGCGTTAAATCACTTCCAGCTCCCCGCGTGAAGGTGAGGAGGATATCAAGTCAATGCCATCGCTTTTACTAAGAGTTTGTTGACGTCCTCATTTACAGGAAGTTTGTAGACATATATATGTACACAGGAGCATTTTTGAAGTTCATCGTAAACATTAATCTGTAGCTTCTAACTTACTTATAATGTTATTACTTTTTAAAGTGTTCAATACGTTATCATAAGCCTTGGTATCTAGATACCTTAACTCATCCAGTAACTTAATAATAGATTGTTTCTCTCCCAGTGTGTTTTTCCAGGTGAGAAGCATCTGATAAGATTGCTCTTCTATATCATTAGGAAAGTCATAAATAATTTTAACAATATCATTTTCCTGCAGATGCGTTCTCATAAGCCGCTTCCATTTTTTCGGTGGTACTTCATTTATAAATGCCCAAAAGCTATCTCTCAGTTCTGAAAGAAAAAACACACATGACACATCAGCTTAGGTTTTAAAATACAGATTTTTTTTCATAGCTAATGTACATGCTTCCCTATTAATTTTCAGCGAATACATGCACAGACCAAACAGCAGCAGCAAGGCCAGGTTTGGCACCTAAGAAGCAGCAGGACAAATAGTTTTCCTACTGGATGATCTTAAAAGCAGCTAAAGGTCTCAGTCTACATATCTCAAAAATCGTCTCTTAAGATGAGACACCATCAAGTAAAGGCGGTTTTGAGGAAGGTTTCATTGGCCTGCATGTCTTCACTTAAGCTTAATAGAGTTACTCAACAGTAGGCTTTAACCACTTCACTATGCTACTGGTATAGGTTTGCCACACCAAGACCAGCATGAGCAAAACCCATCGCTTGGACATCCAGCACATCAGCTTGACGGGTACGGGTAGATGTATGGGGACTCGATGCAGTCTTCCATGTGAGTGGACATGGGACAGAAAGATCTCCTGCTCTGACCTACACCTCACTCGTTAAGGCAGAGTACACTGCTGCAATGCAGACTTGTTTAAAACATACAAGAAAATGTTGTACCATTCTTATTCTTAAAAGCATGACCGCACTTGGCTGCTGTGCAGAAAAGCCATGCTTTAAAGTAGAACAATTCGCCACAGGGATTACAACTTCTCTCAAATATAGTAATAATCCTGTTTCAGCATATTTTACAATAAACTGAAAGCCTTACAGCTCTAAGCAATATTCATTAGCCTCCCTACACTATTCCTTAAGTAGACTGAAGTCAACAGGAAAAAAACAATTTCCAAGTCCTGCCAATTTATGGAATACTTACCTTTTTGAGACAGATCTTTAACAATTATTTGACACGTTGGTTCTTGTACCTGTAATACAAAGTTGGACTGTTACTCCAACATATCAGAGAGATTCACTCACGATTATTCCTGAGCTACTTCATAGCTTGCTTCCACAGCACACATGCCAATAAGGGGGAGGGGAGCAGATTTCACATCACAGCTGGAAGTATTTGAGTAACGAAAGTTTCATGTTGAAACAGCCATGCTACTAGCTCCGAAGTGAAGGAACAAGGCAACACATTTGCTGCTATTGCAAAAGAATAGCTTCTGTGTAAATATTGAACAGGGAGATGAGAGAGGCAGAGCAGATTAAACAAGGAACTGAAGCTTGCTTTCCCAAGATATCACTTCCCATGCTTTCTATTACATCTTTAAGGCAAAGCCTCCTCTTCCCTATCGTTCTGCCTGAAAACAGCATCTATCACTCAAGGAACAGTTAAGAACTCAACTGAAACTACATGTGTATCAGAAGAAATAGGATCATAATTTCACACACACACACTTACCATACGATTTGCTGGCATCCTACCACTTGGTACATTAGACGGGGCATTCTGATGAAAAGCAGGATTCTGCCCAGTTTTTGCTGGTATTGAAGACTCAGCGATCCTCCTCCAGCACCTTTTCATGTGGCGTCTCCAGCCCCCGTGCAGGATGGTGCCCCGCTCAGAAAGCACAACACTGTTTTCCTCTGGTGATGTGTTTTTTACTTCCAAGTTAATGTTGATTTGCGCTTGGCCCTCTGGGCTCTCACCAGAGTTCTCACCCTCTGGGTTGGCTGCGTTATTTGCAGGTGTCTCCAATTCTGGTAAAATCAGGCTTTCAGTACTGCCCTCAGAATCCTGTAAAGAATAAGAACATATTTTAAGAAATGTTTCATAGGCAGGTCTTCAAGGACAGTCTGAAGGAAGAAAACAGAATATTTGAAGTCACCAGATGTCAGACAAAATAATAGGAGAGCTGCTAATTTGGCAAAGTTACAAAGATGCAAAAGTTACAGCCTTTATAGACTTGGACTTCAAATGGTTTCAGAGCCTAAACTCTCTGCTTCACTGGCTGTTCTGCTCCCACTGGACCATGGGATAAGGCTCACAAGCTACCTCCAGAACAAATGCAGGAAACTTTTCCTAATGTTTTCACGGGCGTGTATTGCCGCTTGCTCCTCTCTAGGTATGGAAAGTATACACTCCTCCTGAGGCAGAAGGAAATTGAATTGCCTTGCTGCACCTGAGCTGGCTTAACAGCTACAGGGGCCTCAAGCCTATTGTTGTATCAAGGCTGATGCTCTCAGAGCTTTTGCCAAGCTGATAATAGCCATCAGCTCCATGTAAGTGCACTAGCTTGGGCTTTTTTTGGCTGGATTAGTTTTCCTGGCAGATTCACAAACTAGAATCAGTTGAAAGAAGCCAGTGAGCACCAGTGCACACTGCATAGCTTTTATGAGGGGACAAAAAGGGAAGCAAGTGAGGAGGGCTGCATCGTTTTTAGCATTGTCAATACATTAAACAAGCATATGCCAGGGAGTATAGCTCCAACTCATCAAGAGCAATACAAGTACAAAGCAGACCAGCATCTATCTAGCATATCAGCTAGTGCTAAAACTGGAAAGCTTTAGGAATTTTTTTTTAAAAGGTGGAAAATGAGGGCAAGGAGTGACTGTTTTTCCAATGAGACTTGTGTTTGTTAAGGTACAGTTCCCCCATGAGCGTAAGCCAGTGTGATTTCTGTTTGCACAAGGTCAGTGACCCATGTGTGACACCACCACATGACCAACATGCATAAGCAGGGATGTGAGGGGAACCACCCCATGCATCACACATGTTGCACAGTTGTACATCATCCTCACTGAATCCACTTTCTATTTAAGAGTGCAAACAGGTTAAACAAGTTGATCCTATTTATACAGAACCGTTCTTAAATAGGTAACTGAGCGACCGAAGGCACACAGCAGAGCTGACTAATAGCTGCTGCTCTATTTTGAAATGAAATAAGGTATCAGCAGTATTTTTTTTTTTTTTTCACAGCAGTATAAATTCACTGGTACTTTGGAAAGGATAGTGTGTTTGTGCCAAGACACCTTGTTTCAGGACTGCATCAGTGTAACTCTCCTCAGCAAATACGATTTTTGTTACAGTAGCAGGAACACTTCAAGTACACAGACATTGCAACTCAAGCCTGTGACAACTCTTAAGTCAGAGCTAAGCATCACCATGAACTGATTTGTGATTGCATTATTCTACTACCATTTTATTCAAAATAAAGAGATGTTATATTTGCCTATTCCTATGCTACAGCATTTTGACCAGGTTTTCTGTCACTTTTCTTCATCAGCTTCTACGAATACACGAAGCGCTGCAAATCTGGCCAGGGCGTGGAGGGAGACACAACCCAACAAAAACCTGTGGGTGATTCACATATTTGAGCCACTTATGAACCTTAAAAAAGAGAAGAGTTTAAGGTGATGTTTTTAACAGATCTTTCAACTCTGTTTCTTCAGTCTTCAAGTATTTGTGACATAATTAAGATGCATTTAATTACTTGAAATGTCTAACTAGTAAGATTAGACAAGAGCTCACGCACCGGGTGAGTAGTGCGTGCATTGGGTGGGGGACAAGAAAGGCAGCAGGGAGAAGAAGGTGCTGTATACATGCTATGAGAGGAGTCTGGATGCTTTTCTTAGATCCTCACCAAAACAAACATTTGTTTTACAGTTTGCTATTACACATCATTAGCTATACTAGTGAAGACTGAGCTCATTTTTGCATCGCTGTGCTGTTAGGAGTGCAGCTTCTAAATAGAGAAGCTAAAGCTGGACTAGCTAAATACAAGCTAGTTTTGTATTTATCTTGCAAAATGCTAGACTAGCAATAATCTTTTTAGACTGAAACAGTAAGGTTCTGACAGAGTGTTT